TCATGATCAAAACACTTTTGTCTTAGAACCAACACCAACACGCAATCTCCAAACTTTTCACTCCCAGTTGTTGTTTCCCTTCATCTGCTACAACAATGCTTACGCTTTATTGGGGCTTACTCCCGATGAGGTTAGGATACCTAAACACTTGGAAGGCTGATTTCCTACTCCCAAAAGCACCAAACCCCCTGTCAACAAAGATTTCCCTATAGATTATTCGCACATCTACCATACGTCTAAAGTCTTCCGTTCTGCCCTTGTTGTCAACCAAGATTACATTGCATGGTTGAATAAAGTAGAAAAAGTGAAGGGTCACATTTGGAAGGCTCAAGGTTTTTTTGACTTGATTCAGCTTTCTAGGGTTGGCCCTAGTTATTGTAATCACATGTTTATTTCCACACCTTACTTCTAGGAAGGCTCTACAAACACCTTCCATTTTGCAGTTGATATGCTTACTCATACCCTGTTTGACATTGCGGCCATCACTAGTCTCTGCCCTACTTGTGAAGCGTTTCTTCCCACTGAAGCAAGTGAAAATGTTATTCCTTTTGAAAAGGACATTGTTGGCTTCACCAAATATATGGAGCATTTTCACGCCAAAGGTGTCGACGTTGTGTCTGATGAAGAACACATTGCCTTCTTGGCCTTGTGGCTCTCTAAGTATGTTTCTGTAGTCGATCTCTGAAGGTAGCTAAACGAGTCATTGCGTTAGTTCATCACCTCCATCTGGGTCGACACATATGCATGAGAATAATTATTTTGGGATCGCTTTATGAATCACTCAGCGTAGGGGTCGATCATATGACCTCACTTTCATCTACTATAAGCTATGTTCTTGTTGGGACTTTCTAGATGCTTCAATTGTGGTTAAATGCCACTTTTGCGAGCCAGCTCAAATTGTGCCTCTCTGAAGCACAGAAGATTACATCCACCCAACATTCTAACTAAAGCCTTCGTCTTGCTGCAATGACGCCTTCTAACAATGACATGACTCGAGAGGAGTCGCTTGATAAATAATTGAAGTTTTTCTTTAGGTGCACTTCTTTTCAACAAAGCATGGAACACTTTGCCTCTAGACCACATGGTCATAAGTGGTTCACTCGACCATTTCCTCTGGTCGATCCTGCGCAGGTCCTTGAATCCAAAGTCGTCTGGAAAGCTTTCTTAAACCCTAGGCTCATAGCATATATGGTAGGAGCTAATTATGGCGTAACACTCCTGTGTTATCAGCCTAATCTGGTGGCTAGATGATTTGTCTTGTGCCAACCTTTTCCTTGCATCATTTATAAGCCATCATTAGGCCACTTCCGCCATTGTGCCTGCTCCGGTGGTGGCAAGAGAACGAGTTTTGCAGCCTGTGCCAACTCGACTAGAAAGCATTAACTTTAGTCTTGAAGGAGACCAGCAGGTACCTTCTTCTTCAAAGACTCTTTATCTTATAAATCGTTTGTCCTTTTGATGATTCTATTCTCACTTGTCTTTATTGTTTCAACGACTAGCAGTTAAAACTAAAAAATGCCCCACTAAGATTGTCTTGAAATCTCCCAAGACCAAAAGGAAACCAATCATGGTCTTGACTGATAGTGAGCCTTCTGGGAGCGACCTCGACTCTCCTGTCACCCAGGGTACTTCTGAGTATTCTCCCATCAGTGAGGGATTAGAGGACGATGCCAATAATGACAGCCTGGGGGAGGGTATTGGAGGTGATGGCTTAAAGGATCCAGAACATGTAGTTGTTGTTAATGCCACCACAACTTCTAACCAAAATCCCTTCCAAATGGAAGAAGTGACTCTTCAGGCACCAACCTTTTTGGCACCATCTCGACCCCTCCCAACGTGATTTCTGTGACCAACACCATGTCTCCCCAACAAGTTGCTTCTCTGAGGAAAACCATCCCCTTTGAGTACTTAAAATTTTTTGTGAACGTCAGGAACCGTTCGACTGACGGAGGCTCCAGTACTTCTACTGCATCTGGAGGTATCTCTTCTCTTGGGACTCAAGAAGAAGTTCTTAATCGTCTCAAAACCACGCCCTTTCATGTTGATTTTATCACCCATTTGGAGGCGTATCCCTCTGATGGTATTAAGATTAAAGAAATGCTGAGGAAAGTTGACGTTTAAGTCGCTTCTCCTTTAGTCTTGAAATTTGTGGCAGAAGCGTCTACCTTCCTTGAGAAACTCTTGGTGGACTTGGCTGAAAAGAAAGAGATCTAGGAAAGACGCCTTCCCGAGGAGAAAGAGCACACTGTTGAATTAGCTTTCGTGAATTCTTCCATGGCTTCTAGTGAAGAACTGAAGGAAACTCTTGACAAAGAGATAGCGAACTTTAACACTAGGGCCACAAATATTTCCCAACGGAAAAAGCAGATCGTAGTGTTGAAGCAAAAAATTTAAGGGCTGGAGAAACAAATTGATGAGGCAAAGACTTTACAAGCTACTGGGTTTCACGCAGCTGAACAGGCATTGAATAATGAAGTTATGGTTGGGGTCGCTCACCTGGAGCGTGTTGGCGTGTTGGATATTGAGCTAGCCGACCTTGACACATTTATCTCGTTAACCAATGCTTGTTTGGAGCTTACTCGAGAATGCTATATAACCCTCAAGAATAATGTGCCTTTTTATCCTTTCGATAGTGTTCCTTTTTAGCCTTTCGATTTTACATGTAATCTGAATTTGTTCTTTCCATGCTTCTTTGTAATGCTTAATTCACATTCCAGGCCCTTTGTTGGCCTCCTTATTATACAATGACTTTTATCCTTTGTTTATCATAATTTCTTGCAACATAGGCCTATACCTCTTTAAGTATTTGCCATTTACTCGTAGTATTCGACCTTCTAGCGTAAGCTCCTCAATCTCATAAGCATTGTTAGAAAAAACTTGCACTATTCAAAATGGTCCTTCCCAGTTTGGTGACCATTTATCAAGGATTGTATCATTCCTATCCATAGGTAGGATCACTTTCTAGACCATATCTCCAAATACGAATGCCTTTGCATTCACCTTTTTTTATAGGCCCTCGTTACTTGTTCCTTCTATCTGAACAAAGTATCTAATGCTTCTAGCACGTGTTCTTCAAAATCTACCAATGTATCATACATCATTCCCCAGTAATATTCAGTAGGAATGTTTGATTGCCTTTGCACTCTGACTGATTGCAGATGAATATCTAGAGGCAACATTGCCTCGTGTCTATAAACTAAGTTGAAAGGTGTTGTGTTAGTCGACTCTTTTGGCGAGTTTTAACATGCCCATAATGCCTGGCCCAGAGATATATGCCAGCTTCTACGTTTTTGGCCAACATGTTTTTTTATCAAACTTATAATGACTTTGTTTGCCACTTCGACTTCCCATTCGCCTGGGCGTAATACAATGTTGATGTTAACAGTTTGAACCCAATCTCTGCAGCAAACTCAGTTACCTTAGTTCGTTGTTATGGTTTCTGGTATTCCAAATCTATGTATGATTTGGTGTTGAATGAAGGCCATTACTTCCTCTTGATCCACTTTAACCAAAGCGACAACCTCTACCCATTTTGAAAAATAATTAATACTCACTAAGATATACTTATGGTCTTTCGATGAGGCAGGTTTGATTTCTCCTACAATATCCAAAGCCCATCCCCTGAAAGACCAAGGTTTGACAATATAATGTAATTTTCTAGCTGGTACATGTTGAATTCCATAATGTTTTTGGCATTCTTGGAAGCTTTTGGCGAACTCGATGCAATTTTTTAACATGGTCGACCAATATACTTCTATTCGACATAACAACCATTTCATTTTTTGTCCTTCCTGATGTGTACCACAAACTCTACTATGTACTTTAGATGTCGCTACATATGCTTCATTTTTCCCTAAGCATTTTACGAGTACTCCTTCAAGTGTTTTCCTGAATAATTCATTTCCCATTAATCTGTAACTTAACGCTCTGTACTTAATTTTGCGCTATGTCGTCCCAACTGGATTTTTCAAGTAGTCGACTATAGGTTTCCTCCAGTCATTATCAACTAACACTGGTCTCTTAATAGAAATTTTACTGGCGAGATCGACCAGGGAATCTCAATACAGTAATTCAGTTTTCGAGTATTTTTACAAAGTGTGTTCAAAAGGGTCCGCTCGACTAAGGCGAAACGGACCTAAAAGCAATAAAGCAGGAATCATAAAATAAAACAAAGACGTTTTAAAATGTAAAAATAGATGACATAACATCAAAACAATTGAAAATGGGTTGATTCAAACATACATCGCTCGTGTTTGACTTAATTCGCTCGTTCACTTGGGTACTCTGAGTGACTAGCGTGTAGGAATGTGAAAGTTTGAACCTCTTACACTACGCACCAAGTGCTTTATTTCTAATACATGAAAATAACTACTTTTTGGCGGGTTTCGCTTCTTTATGAGCCACGTGTCCCTTGTAACTTCCCTTCATGAACCCTAGTTCTCCATTCTTGCTATCGAACCCACATTCTCTATTGTAACTTCCCTTCATGAACCCACGTTCTCCATTCTTGCTATCGAACACACATTCTCTATTCACAAGGTTTTGCTTTGCTAATTATTCCCTCTTTTGGGCTTTATAACACCTTAGGCTCAATCCATTCCTCATGAGGCCTCTCTTCTAGTCGACCGCGTCTACAAGTCCAAATTGACCTTTTATGAAACCTCTTCCGGTCGACAGCTTCCATAGTCTACTTCCTATAATCAAAAATCTTCAAAGAACCCTTTTTATTTTTGGTTGAATTTTGACCCCTTTGTAAAAATCTTAGCGAACAATAAAGAAAAAATTAGTGAATATTTTAAAATTAGATAGAGATGTCACTATCCTTTTAACAAATTTCAGGGAAAAAATGAGTGTAGTTTTCCCTGAAATTTAATATTAGTTAACAAAAATTATAATCAAAAGACTAATAGTGCATTCATAGTTTATTAATTGTCTAACTAGGAGATTGACACTAATAATTTACAAATCTCAAATCAGCAATCAACATACACACTAAATTGCTAATAATAAGTCTCTGCAATTTCTTGAAGATATGCAAAAAGATCTTGGGGTTTAGATAACATGGCCATGTGATCAGCATCAGGAATCACTTTGACATCGTTTGTAGGATTTCGTTCAATCATTGACAGTTGAAAATCAAGCTTTAACAATTTGTCTTGTTGGCACACAATGTAGACTTTAGCAACAGTTCCATAATTATTTTTTGTGATACTTGTTTTCTCTCGTGATAGTTCTTGATCACCAAAACTACGAATAGGTCTTTGTAATAACATTACAAGAGACAAGTCCTAGTTCATATATAGCCAACAAATATCAACATATCAATTAATATATAACATTTCATTATGTTTATTTTCACTAAAATGATTATGAGAGTGTTTTTTTTTAGATCAACATAAACATATTGATTAGCCAACATACCTCAGGTGGAGATAGTTGATACATCTTGGATGCTAAGAATTGAGGCCCATGTATTATGGATCCATTTGATTTATTATTTGAGCTATCGTCCAATATAATCTCTGTGTCCATGATGGAATCCAATCTTTGATGATACTTCCGTTTGAAAAATAAACATATCACATGATAAACTAAGAAATATTAGAAAACACAACAACAACAATAAAGTACCTCCTGGCGGATAGTCATGAAGCATAGATCCGGAGAAGGCATGATAGCTGCAACAAATACAGCAACTGCAATTTTCTTTGGAAAAAATTCCATAGCCATAGATATACAAATCCCACCAAAGCTATGACCAACAAGGATAACCCTCTCATCTTGTGGCAATGACCTTAAAAATTCAATCAACGGTTCATAATAATCTGCAATTGAATCAATCTCATGCACTTGTTTTGGATGGACACCAGAAGCAGCCATGTCTAGTGCTGTGACTTTATGTCCACAAGATTTCAATAGAGCAACAACCTTGTACCAACACCATGCTCCGTGGCAAGCTCCATGAACCAACACGAACTGTCTCTTATCCATATTTCTTTCCTAGTCACTTGTTTATGAAAAAAATCATAGGACAAACCAAAGAAAACCGACTAGAACCAAGAGCTACTCATGAGGCCATCCACCTACTCCCCCACGTGCTTAAGGTTAGTTGGAGGGAGGAGGCACCTTGTAACTTTGACTATATTTTTTAAAACTATTCCTTATCTCCCATCTAATTATTTTCTAATTATTTCTTATCTCTCATCTAGTAACTATTTCTTGTACCAAAGGTATTCATTAATAAAGGTAGATAACCCTATCTCTATCTCTAGTTGGAGGGTTCAAATCGCACTAGCACATGAGGAAAAAAAGAAAGGACCCACCTGCAAGATAATGCCACTCACTGGACCCAGATTTCCTATGGGCAAAATACAATGCATCCAGCATTCAAGCGTAATTAGCAGATCGGATAATCATAGTCTACTATTTAATCATTACTATTGAATCGACCAAAATTTCTTTTGTGCCATTTCTTCAAAAAAAAAAAATTATATTATTTATTCGACATTTTAGTAACTAACAAATTAAACTTTCACTTGTTCAATTTTTTTGGACATAACGCCTCAAATGTCTTCTTGTCATTAGTCTAAATTTAAATTTAATATTTGCATAGTATATTACTTTATTTTTTATTTCTCTTTCTTTTCTTACTAAAACTACTAATAATCTATTTTTTTCCGCTAAAAATATTAATAATTTATTATTTTCTCTTTCTCTTTTTTCTCTCTCTTTTCTCACTAAAAATATTAATAATTTTTTTATTTTTAATTTTAATTTAAAATATAATATATATTTTATTTTAATCAATCATTATCTTAATTTAAGAGATAAAATTTTTATTTTTAAATATTATTTTTTTTCTTTTTCTATCTCATTGTTTTTTTTTATGATTATTTAATATAATTCAATTTATACGATTATTTTTCCATTTTACAATTAAGTAAATCATTTCAAATTTTGTATTTATATCTAAATATATTTTATATTGCATCAAATAATTTTTTATCTCACAGATCATTATCAGTATAATGTCTATTTTATTTTCATTAACAATTATTTTTATTTGAGAGATAATTTTTATTTTTAAATGTTAAATTTTATTTTTCTCCTTCTCACATATTCTTTTTTTATATGATTATTTAATACAATTGAATTTATATATATTTATTATTGATTTATAATTAAGTCATTTATTTTAAATTTATATGTATCTAAATATATTTTATACAATATCAAATACATTTAACGATGCGGAAGCACAAGTATCTTACTAATTTTAAATTGATAATTATGAGAAATAATATTTTTTTATATTCATGTGATCAAGATCAAATAGTTAATAACATTTTAACAGCAGAAATACCTCAAAAACTTGTGTGCATGGATTTCAAGTTCTCACTTCCTCTTACTACGGGCTTCCAAAATTATCTTAAGCATTTATTATTATTATTATTACTAACATTTAAATAGATATTCACATGTTTATTTATCTGTTTTTTTAGTGTAGACACGCGTCAAAATATAAATATGTTTTTATTTGATTTTTGTCATAACTAGTAACAAACCCGTGCTATCGCACGGGTCTCGTCTGCATTCACATTACATTTATAGATTATTAAATTATTAAGTATGTTACCATGTTTTTAGTTGAGTATATGTCTCATGTAAACCATGTTGACATTTAACTCCATATTTGTAGCAAGCGTCGGTCCTATCAACAAATCACGTCTGCATGAACAAATAGGAAAAATTATATACTTCTTGAAATACATGGAAAATGTACATACTATATATTTTAATTCAAAATAGATTTTTAATTTGAATTGTAAAGTATAAGATATATATAAGTTTACCAACTATCAAAGTGCTTGAAAGACTTCCTTGTACACAACATTAGTAGTAGTAGAACACGGTACATTCTCCTTGTCATGAATTAGGATTTTTAGCCCACTTTTGCTCTTAACTCTTGAAATTGCAACATATAATTGACCATGACTAAACACAGGAGTAGGCAAATACAATCCAACACTATCAAGAGATTGACCTTGTGATTTATTAATTGTCATTGCATAGGAGACAATAATCGGAAATTGTCTCCTAATCAACTTGAATGGCCAAGGTGAATCAGAAGGTGACATAGACATTCGTGGAATGTAAAAAATGTTACCTATGTTCTTTTCAGACATGATTTTTGCCTCAATTACATGATTTGCAAATCTTGTAACAATTAATCTTGTTCCGTTGCACAACCCATCGGCTTGGTCCAAATTTCTCATTAGCATAATAGGTATACCAACCTTCAATTTGATCATATGATTGGGAAGCCCTGACGTTCTTAATTTACTGAGAAATTCAGGAGTTAGAACTTCATATGCTTCAGTATAACTTGAATCTGTTCTATCAGTGGAATCAAAACTCAAATACTCTTTCTCTTCTCCTAAAAAAAAGTTTAAAAGCAAAACATAAATAAATTAGTAAAACTATGTTCTTATATATATATATATATATATATATATATATATATATATATATATATATATATATATATATATATATATATATATATATATATATATATATATATATATATATATATATATATATATATATATATATATATATATATATATATATATATATATATATATATATATATATATATATATATATATATATATATATATATATATATATATATATATATATATATATATATATATATATATATATATATATATATATATATTATGAATGTAATAATACAGTAAATATAAAACACATATACCTGGTATCAAGTCTAATACATAATGATTGATTTTGTCCACAACTTCAATGGTTGAAGCAAGAATAGCCTTTCCTTGTAAGAATTCAACATCTTGATATTTTTCCAACAAATTGGGATATGTGTTTTCAACCATTGCTCTTATAGGATCATCAAAATTTGATATTAATAGCTCTTGAGGAATTTCAATATCAACCAAACCATCATTGGGTTCACAAATCTTACCATCACCCACATTTAAAATCCATTTTGAAAATTCCGCTAGTTCATTAGAACTTGTGTTGTCTCTTCCCTCTTGAAGTCTCATATTTTTTGATAGTGTTAAAACCTGGCAATAATCCCATACATAAGATGAACTAATTGATGCATGAACAATATCAGAACGCCCAGCTCTTGGAACAACAGGAAGAATCTGTCTAAAATCTCCTCCAAATACAACAACTTTTCCACCAAAAATAGTATTCTCAACACCCTTTTTGCTCATTACATCTTTAAGGGTTTTATCCAATGCTTCGAAGCAGTTCTTGTGAGACATAGGTGCATCATCCCATATTATCACATCCGTTGCTTCAAATAATTGAGAATGTTCGGTGTCTTTGTCGATGTTGCAAGTTGAGTTGTCAAGCGTTGGCACAGGTATTTTGAACTTTGAGTGTGCTGTTCTTCCACCTGGCAATAATAACGAAGCTATCCCAATTGAAGCAACAGTAAGAACAATTTTTTTTTGAGAACGAAGTGTACTTGATAGTGTTCTCCACATGAAAGTTTTACCAGTCCCTCCGTAACCATGCAAGAAAAATACCCCTCCACTCTGTTTATTAACAACATCCATGATTTTCTCAAATATCAAACGTTGTTCATCTATAAAATACAAACCAAGAATTATAAGTGCAAGGACAATAAAAATCATTTTTGTAATTCATAGTATAAAGAAAATAAATCACCTGTAAGGGCATGAAAAAGTTCTTGGAATTTCTGTTTCTCGGTATCGGCATCGTAATTAAGTTCGTCATAAATAAGCCTATTGCCAACATGTTTTGTGATGTATGAATCTGGATACGGCATACATTTAAATTCATGCAAACTTCTTCGATTTGATTGCATCATGTTCTCAATCTCAATTAGTGTGAGATTCTTTAACTCATTGTCCGATAGCTGCAATTCTGTTAAAAAAATTTCATTAGTTTTCTATATAATTACATATGTATGATGCAACTGCTGTCGTGATGTTGAAATACATTGAACATAAATCAAACAGTTGATGTTGCGGCTGCGTGAAATTAAATGGAACCAAAGACACTGTTGCAACTGCAAGTTAAGAAAATAACTTACATACATGACAAATGACAAATATGAAAATGTTTCTTACGTAAATGGACATACCTTATGAAACATATTAAATAAGGGACATATGGATGAAGAATAATTATATTTTAAAGTAAGTTCATATCATTATATTTTGTAATAAAAAAAGATACAGCTTGCATTCGGAAAATAATATTTGTTGACTTAAAAAAGTTTAATAAAGTGTTCATACCTCTTCTATTTGTTTTTTGCCTTTGTTGGTAGAGGATACCATCAGATAACGTCCTCCAAGTTTTTTCCCAAACATGTCATGGTCTATTGACAGTACCGGATAGTAACATAGTGACAAATAACTTTCGTAAAAAATGCCCGGAACCCCAATTCTTTGCTTCGTCGATGGCTGCAACATATTCCTTGTCATCGTTAAGAAAGCCCATTTCGAAGCATGCATCCCTAAAAGAATCCTGAAATTTTCCACCCACAAATTTTATATCCTCATAGCAAGTTGGACCTTTGACGACTGTTAGCATCATTCTCAAGAAATATAACTCACCCGTACTTGGAGGGACCCAAATAAGTCTGCCAATTGTATTTCCTCTTTTACGCGGTCTCCATCGACGGTATCTTTTATCATAAACAAATTTGGAAAGAAATTGTGAGTACGTCAAATTCTTTGCCTCTGGGTATGCTTTGTTTGCTTCCATCCATGCCATAAACATAGATTCTTTCACAGTTGGTTTGTCAAGCACCTCATCTATCAATTCATAATCGGTATAATAAACAGAGTTGTCTCCTTCAAGATGAAAGAACAACCTTTCAACTGCGGGTGATCTACCATGAATAGGAAATGAAAAAAGTCTCCAACATGCCTCACTTGGTGAGATATATCTGCAATCAAGATATTGCTTGATTTCGTCAACCATTATGACTAAGGGAGATCCATCACCGTCAGTTTGGACAACAGTAGCAGTAATTCTATCATACCCCTTGTTAATATACTTAAATAAGTATTTAAGTGAAGTACTTTGATTACACCACTCCATATTGATGTGTGCTTGGAATTTCTTCAACAAATATGGATTGTAAGGAACTACATATCTTTTATCAAGTTGAACGTGTTTTTTCAGCACTGTATTACCAGTTTCTCTTCTTCGGTACACGGGATATCCATCCTGATCAACAATGGTTTCGGTTTGATATTTCTTTGGAAAGTATTTTGAGCACTTTCCATTTTTCATGCAAGTTGAATTCGCATTTTCTAAACCACATGGGCCATGAATCATATGTGTCTTGACCAAATGGTAGAGTTGCCTATCATCTTCTTCCGTTGGTATCTCTGCTGAAATGATCTTGTTTA